TCCAGAAGATGTTGCAAGCTCAGCTTGCTATCCATCACCATACCTGTCCTGTGGGACTGGCATGGTGTTTTCAGGTATTGGCTGGTAGGAAGTCATTGAAACACAGGGCCAATTAAAACCACTTCTATCAATAGTATAAATTATTGAGGTTGTAGATGAAGAAGATAAATTGAGGAAGGCAACTATATTTTGGAATCAGGCGTCAGATAAATGAAGCTAAAAATAATTGCAATCAAATTTGTTATAGCAAGTAGCTCCATTAAAAAAAATACTGTTAATATGTATTTAATTAATGACACTGTATCTATATGGGCTCCTCTGGTGGCTCAGATAGTAAAGAATCTGCCTGCAATGTGGGAGACCCAGGCTCACTCCCTGGGTCAAAGAAGATCACTGGGATGGGAAGATCCCCTGGAGAAGGGAATGGTAACCCTTTCAGTTTGGTAGCTCTATACCATTTCAGGAACCATTTACACCTCTTAATTGAGCTACTATTTTCTAAGCACCTACTAAGAGGACCAGAATTTTTAAGTGACCTAAGGAATATAAATTTATCTAAGATGTGATCCTTAATTAAGAAGATAACTTTGACAGGGATATGATGAGTGTATAACCATGACTTTAAGCATTACCATCACTACCATCACCACCATCATCATCCTTATTATCAGAACTGTTATCATTTAGCCATTCATTCATTTATTATCTATGCCATACCTAGTATGTGCTAAATGCTGTTGAAAATACTAGGGATATAGTATAAAACATGATGATCTAGATTACTGACATCATGAAACTTCTATTCTGGAGAGCTGAATAGACAGATGAAATGAACATTTAAACAGTTTAAATCATATTATAGATATATGATTTAATTTAACTTGCCCTACTATATATCCCAAAATGGTAATGCTAGGAAGAAAAATAAAGTTAACTGAGGGAATAGAAGGAGATATAGAATGTTATTTTATAGAGTGTGATCAGCAAGACTTCTCAAAGGAAGGAGCATTTGAGATTGAGACTTGATGAAAAAGAGAGAGTGATATGTGCAAGTGTACAGAGGAAGAACATTCTAAGCAGTTCACTTAGTGTGAACTTATTGTACATTGAGGTAAGACTTTTGTTGGAATAATTTAATATATGTTACTTGTAAAAATAATTATCATTATTACAGTTATTCAGATATTTTTTAAATCTAAGGCTTCATAAAATGTTGAAGCAAGTTTGCAATATCAGAGCTATTAAATTGCAGAGTTTGTCTCAAACCTTTTGGTACAATGTGTTTTAGGCATTTTTTTTTAAGAAGGAAAATTTTATCTGGCTTATGTAATTAAAAGAAATTTCCAAGAGAAGAGATGTTCCAGCAGAATGTTGAGTGACTGACAGTGTCTGTAGTTGGATACATATGAAAGGAATTGGATGGGCAAAACCTGGGAGTGGGAAGGTGATAGGAAGTTTGAAGTATTTGAGCATATGTTGGAAATGATAACCTGAGAAGTATAGGGTAGTCTTTCTCAAAAAAAGATCAAGTTGGATGAGAAGACTGGTGCTTGACTTTAGACAATTATTATTCTAGACTGTCACCTTTGCACTTAATTCTTTAGATAACATAGAGACATTAAAAGGCTTTGTGGAATAAAGTGATGTAAATGAAACCAAGATTGAGAAATATTATAATGGTAATGAATTTAAAATGGGTGAAAAGAGGGAACCAGAGTAAGAGTTCATTAAGTCTGCTTTCCTAAGCAGGGACTTGAAGATGCCTTAGGTAGTGATGGGTCATTTTTAGAGGAGCCTGACATTCTTATGTGTATCTATATGAACACCAGATAAATATTTTTTACTCAAACATGTTTTATAATTTTTAAAATGATATTTTTTTTTCTACTATGCCATTAGGGAAAATGTGAATTTATTTGAAAGCATTGCAAAATTCAGAAGAGTGTTTATAAAACTGAATTTTTCAAATATGTAGAAGCTCAAATTATTCCTTGATTTATTGGTTTATGGATTGGTTCAAGAAATACTTACTTCTAGAACAGCATATTATTGGGTGAGCGTGGTTTCTGAACTTAGACTTTTATGGGTTGGACCTTGAGATATTCTACTCATTAACAGTGAGTATAATTGTTATTGATCTCTCTAAATCTCATTTTTTGATGTGCAAATTTGTCAAAATAATAATACTCTTATTTATTGTGAGGATTTTGTAAGATTGTGATTATAAAGTGTCTAGTACAGTACCCAAAAACATAAGATATCTGTTATTGCTGTTAGACAGTTTTTGGTAGATATTATAGTTATATCATGTTCAAAAACCAAAAACGCACTCTGAGGTCATTTCTCTAGTAATTTGCCTTCAGTTTCAGTGAGTGAATCAAAATCAGAATCAGTAGATATAAAGTTGTAATTTCCTCTTGATTCCTTTATTGGACTGAAAAGTCAGTTATATTACAGTTACTCTTTTTCCCTTTTCCTACAAATCCCCTTGAGTTAATAAATGTGGCGGTGCTTGTGATTCTTGGCCAAGATACTCACTTCTTATTGTTTGTTGCCCCTTTTTTCATTGTCTTAGGTCTTGAGATGAGTATTTCACAACTTTTTGCCCTTCTTAGTCTTCAATGCGGGGCTTCCCAGGTGATGCTAGTGGAAAGAACCCACTTGCCAATGCAGGAGAAGTAAGAGATGTGGGTTTGATCCCTGAGTTGGGTAGGTCCACAGGAGGAGAGTGTGGCAACCCACTCCAGTATTCTTGCCTGGAGGTCCCATGGATAGAGCAGCCTGGCAGGCTACCGTCCATAGAGTTGCAAGGAGTCAGAGACTGAAGTGACTTAGCATGCATACATGCACAGGGTTCTATTAATACATAAAGCATTGCATCTCTGATCTGTCACTCTGACTTCTGAGTAGTCTTAACTGACCTGTGTGTGTGAGCTCAGTTGTGACTGACTCTCTGTAACTCATGGATGGTGTAGCCCACCAGGCTTCTCTGTCCAGGTAAGAATACTGGAGTGGGATACCATTTTCTACTCCAGGGGATCTTCCCAACCCTGGGAATTGAACCTATGTCTCCTGCATTGTCAGATGGATTCTAAATCACTAAGCCACCTGGGAAGCCCCGTGAGTAGTCTTAAGTAGAACCTTATATGGAGAATAGCTGTTCATCACATCACGCAGATTCTAACAAAGAAATTGACCTATCGACCTTCAGTCACATTGCATTCCAGAAAAGTGTTTCTGGTCTGGGATGGCTATTACTGGCCTTTTTTTTTTTTTTCTTTATTTTTGGTTGTTCTGGGTCTTCGCTGCTGCCCAGGTCTTTCTCTAGCTGTGGTGAGCGGGGACTGCTCCCTAGTTATAATGCACAGGCTTCTCATTGCAGTGGCTTCTCTTGTTGTGGAGCATGGGCTCTAAAGCACAGACTCAGCAGTGGTGCCACACCAGTTTACTTGCTCCATGGGATGTGGGACCTTCTCGGACCAGGGATCAAACCTGTGTGTCCTCCGTTGGCAAGCAGATTCTTTACCACTGAGCAACCAGGGAAACTGTATTGTTTGTCTTAATGTTGTTACTTTCGTGCTAATGATTTGATAATCTACTGTCTCAACTTATATGGAATAAGCTTATAAATGGAAATTCTAACCCAAATGCAGGAGGGGTAGAGGTATTGAACAGTAAGCGTTAATAAGCATGAACAAGAGGTGTGGAGTGACCCATTTTAGAAAACAGGAGTGAAATTGACTTCTGCTGGATTTGCTTCATCAGAATGAAAGATAAGCCTAAATCTACTGATCTGAGAAGGGGAAAACATTAAGAAAACACCCTCTATGCACGCTTTCTTCTAGCATTTATTTAGGACCTAGTTTTTAAGTCCAAAGAGTTTATGGCTGAATTGAATGCCTCTGTCACTATGTGAAAATTGGCTTCAGTGCTTTAAACTGTGAGTCACAATAACCCATTTATAGTTTATCAAATGTTTACTCTCATATTTTACTTATCTTTTTTAAAGAAAGACTGGGGCTTCTTGGATGATTTGTGTATACACAGTGAACTGGAAACCTTTATGTTTTGTTTCATTTGTCCCCAAATCATTTGGCTATTTTTCAATAAAGAAGGTTTTATTGGGAATGGAGTAAAAGAAATTGGGGATTGGGCTAGAGAGAAGGAAACAAGAAACTTAGTGTTTTATAAACTTTATTGTAAAGAAAATCTGGCATGTATTTCAAGTTAGGGTGGTCTATGCTTTACTTTAGTGAATGATGCTCATATATTTCTAGTCAACAGAACGGAACACAGATCTGAAAATTGAAAAGCTTTACTATGCATATTGTAAAAGATGCTCAAGTTTCTCCTTCTCCATCACTCATACCTCCATGCCAATATGATGCATGCTGCCCAGGGAGAAGATGTTATTAAGTGTTGCTATGGAAGCAATTGTTTAATTTAGTTAGTACATCCTCTTGATTTTTGTGAGTGGTGGGAGAACTGTTAAAAGAGGACTTTTAACGTTTACAAATGTGTACCACTCTGCATTGAGGGGGGATTTTGAATTATTTTCCCATCACTAATCTTTTTCCCCCTTACCAGTTAAAAAAGTAGTTTATAATGCTTCTGGAATATTAATATTTAAATCCTCATTGTAGGGTCCGTTGCAGCAAGAAAAATGTAAATAGGCACACTTTATTTCCATATTATTTTGCGGAGTATTTTGGCAATCATTCTAGTGTTTATAGTCAATGTATTTTAATGCCATCCACATTTTTGGACAGCAGGCATAAAGCTCTGCTGGTTTATCTCTTGGAGAAGTAAGATTGCCCCTCAAAAGATAGTCATTTATAATATATGCACCTTTGAATAATTAAATGAGCTACCGAAGAGGAAAAGGATTCTAATCAGTTTTCAAACTGTGATTCTTCCATGCACTGAATCATTCCTTTATGAATACATTTCTCTTGGAGCATGTATAATTATGAAACTTCTTTTTTTTTCTCTCTCGGTAGGAACTGGGAAGTAACAGCCCTCCACAGAGAAACTGGAAGGGAATTGCTATTGCCCTGCTGGTGATTTTAGTTGTATGCTCACTCATCACTATGTCAGTCATCCTCTTAACTCCAGGTAATCTGTCTTTATTACTCTCTTAGGATGGTATTGTGGATGATCATTTCACATTGAAATATCTAAAGAGGGTAGTCTTATATGGTATCTTAGGACACATTAGCGTTGGTTGGAATAAAAAAATGCGTAACTAGACATTTTGCAAATGGCACAGTCATTTTGTGGTTTAAATATCATACAAGATACTTTGGGGACATTGCAATATTGTGTGTGTGTGTGTATATATATATATATATATGGAATGTTAAGGAGATCTTTGGTCTCTGTTGCTACTTACAGACTTATTATGATTGTCACTTTAATAAATGTGGAGGATTTGATGGACACAGAGATTTAGATCAAAAGAAAATGAGCTAAGCCTCTAAGTACAATACCTCAAATTTCTTCCTCTCTTCTTTCTCTGTTGTTTTTACATTCCCAGTTTCTGTCTATAAAGATACTCTCCAAACTGCTCTTGCATTACTCTTTAAATTTTGTTCTTTATATTAAATGGTTGACTTATATTATGTAAATTATCAGTATGTTTAATTCTTCACTGGGATTTATTTCAGTACTTGGAATTTTACTGCTCTTTTGTAGGTGCTATTACAGAAAGCAGAGAAAGGCTGCTCACATTTTAAACTCACAAACTGCCTTCCAGGAACAAAAAAAATTTGTCATGCTGCTACAACCCACCCAACTAGCTTGCTCAAAGACTGGTCACTGTATAAGGCTCAGCATTATAAAAAATAGTCACTTCTTAAACCTCTAACTAGTCCAAAAATCATTTCTATAATACAATAAAGCTAGTCCAAATTATGCAGTTACAGCCTGTTGTTAAAGACTATATAACTTCATTTCCTGTCCCAGTTTTGTTATTTACAAACTCTTTAAAAATGTTGAATTTATTTCCTCATGTACAACATTTGATTAACAAAATGACCTCTTTCACGGGGTCATTTAGTCAACTAATTATTTTGGCTAGTTATACAAGTTGCAATATCCATTGTTCCAAATGTACAGATTTCCAAAAATTTAGTTTGTAGTTGTTATTTAACATATGAAGAGCCTGAGAAAGAATTTGAGGGAATCAGGAAAGAGGAGGGAAAGAGAATTTTACACAAAAATAGAAAAAACATTCCTGATAACTGGCTTATCTATCATTCTAAGAATTTTCTCTTACAGCCTCATTTGTGCATCTGCAATACAGTGTAATGAGCAGTGTGATGGCTATGATTTGTTGCCAGTTGCCAAGAATCTTTGTTAAAGGAAAATGAGCTTGTAAGTTTGGTGCAGTGTTTCACTTAAACATAGAAATTTTGACATAATTATTAAAAACTGAATGACATGCCTTCACTGCTTCTGTTGGTGACTGTTAACCAGATGGAAGAAATTAGTTTCATAAAATGCCTCTGTGTTTCTCTTGAATTTTCTTCTGAGTCTAGTATCCTTTCCCCAGTTGTTGACTCCTTGAGGCCACAGTGATACTTTGGTGTCTTTGGGAGCTTGGTATAACAGAGACCTGCAGAGCTGGTTAAACTTCCTCTACACAAGCCTTTCCAGCTTCCCCCAGTAATAAAAATACAGGATAGTTGCATTCATTTTGTCATGCACTTATTCATTTACTAAAGCAAGAGTTTACATAAAATATACTTTGGTTTGAATTCTGGATCTAACAGAACTAGTTTTGTGAAATTGGCTAATGGTTTAACCTTGTCTGTAACTTCACTCATCTGTATTATGGATGCAGCTAATAATGGCGACTTTACATTGTTTTTACTGACCAAGGTTCTTGACATCATTAATCAATAGAAATTGATAAGAAGCCAGACAGAAAATTCAGGCAAGGCTTTACTGGGGCCCCTGCTGTAGCAGAGAGGAGCAAAAACAAGCAAGAGTTTCCCTTTCTTGCTCACTTGCTCCCCAAGGTGGACAAGCTGGTTCTTTATATAGGGTGACAGCCTCAGGCCCAGGGCTTGGCTCAGAGGGGTGACTTAGGTGTTTTGCCCACCTCTTTGATGGTGGTGTGTGCAGGGGGTATGCACAGTACCCTCCTCTTGCTCTTGATTCTTCAGAAGTAGCAGTTGGGATCTTTTGATCTTTTTGTATTTTGTTGTCCATGGTTTACCCAAACTGGGCATGCACACTGTTATTTCCAGTCCCTTATAGTTTCTTTGTATTTTGTCGCTTGAGAAGACATTGGTCCATGTGTAAGCATTGCAGTAAAGGACATTGGGTCCCAGGTCTTAGCGTGTCTCAGTGTTACCTCTCAGGGATAACTGAGATAATAAAATTGAGGTGTTTGGTATAGTGTGTAGAAGCACTGCTGCCATTTGTTTTATTATTTTTATTGTTAAGTACTTACTGACCACCAGACACAATGCAAAACACTGTGTTACGTGAGGGAGACTGCTAGGAAAAAGTATAAAGTCTTTTAGAAGTATAGATCTTCTCTGATTTCAATGTTAAGTTTTGGCATGTGAAGAAATGCCAAGTATTTAATCTGGAGTCAGTCTCTCAGTGTTCTATTTATTCATTTATTCATACATCAATAGATTATAATGGAGTTCTTACAACTTTCTAGGTACTATAGTAGTTGGTATGTCTTCTGCTTTGTATCTTATCTTTATATCTTCCAATCTCCTTTTTTCACAACTACACATGAGCACAACAGCCACACATCCCCAACTCAGAGAGTTAATTTCATATGAGGCTAATTATACAAATGGAAGTGGCAATTTTTTTTTACATTAATAATGTACTAAATTTGTTTTCCCTGGAGAAGGAAATGGCAGCCCACTCCACTATTCTTGCTTGGAGAATTCCATGAGCAGAGGAGCCTGGTGGGCTACAGTCCATGGGGTTGCAAAGAGTCAGACGCGACTGTGCTAACACACACACAAACAAATTTGTTTACCACATGTTTGAATATGTTTGCATTGCCCTGTTATTTTTGGCAGGGATGTTATGAAATGAAAAATAGAAGTCAGTATACTGGAGTGGAAAAAGTATTATTACAGAAACGACCTGTGTATTATACTCTGTGTCAATTCAGTGTCACTGGAATTGGAGGGTTATGCAAACTGATGAAGCAGATAAATGAAATCATGGTGGTTAGAAATTTTGCTTGAGTTGTGAGTGAGCAAATACTATCCTGGCTAGATGACCTACGTGGTGGGCTCACACCAAACAGCAGAGTGAAATATAAGGTCAGAAGATTTAACAGTTTGTGGCCTGAGTCCTAAGCCTGGAAGTACTCCCTTAAGTTATCTAGTCTTGCCTCCCTCATTAGACAGGAAACAAACAAGCAAAAACCAAACAAAACTGAGTTTGTTTGTTTTTTTAACCTCTGGTTCTGAGGGCTAGCATGTACATTAAGATCATTAGTGTGGATTTTTGATTTCACGCATGTATGCTTGTGTTTATCTGTGATGGACTAGTGCTCTGATTACAAAGAACCTTCCTCTTCCTAACCTCAGCAGTGCTGCAACAGGCCAGCAAGTGAGAACCTGTGACTGAGGGAATAATGTGCTACACTCCCCTGTAATCTTCGCTTTGTTCACAGATATGTCCTGAAGGCTCAGCCTTCTAGGTAAAGTCAGTCAGACAGATGCCACTTTCAGCCAGGAAGAGGGATCCACTCAGGAGGAAAAGCTTCTGACCCTGAAATTATTCAGCGGGACACCTGACTCTTTAGAATGAAGGACTGACTCTAGAACAATCCATCCAGCAAGGGTGGAGGTCAGAAATCCGTTTGCATTTTATAGCTCTATGACCTTGGGCAAGTCACTTACCTTCTTTTATTACTGGGAAGAACGAACTCTGACTCCATATTGAATCTGCTTCTTTTGCTTTAACCTTTGTTTACATTATTTTTGTTCACTGAAAGGATAGTGTTTATGCATAATATCATGCCTCAGCGAACCCTGCCTCTCTGCCTGATTGGCAAACTAAAGTGCCTTTATTCAGGATCCTGTCCACATGTGGTTGTCCACAGGAAGGTAGAAATTAACACATACCCTCTCTGAGGTTAGCCATTCCAAGAGATATTTGCAAGATTAATGGTCTTTTGACTTTACTTCCTCACATACGCCACCCCCCCACACACCCACCCTATTCTATAAAAGAACCTGGTATTCAGAACTTGATAAGTTTTTTTTTTTTTAGTAACTAGTCTGCCAGCCTTCCAAATAAAGTCTTAATCCTTTCCTAAATACCTCATCCCTTGGTTAATTGACCTGTCTTGCAGTGAGGAGAGCCAGATTGGACTCGGTGACACTTTGATATCAAGTGTTTTGTTGAAGAAAGGGGCATCTTTGTTTTGCAAAATTTAAAGTGATTTCTTGAAGTTCATTACAGTCCCAATATCAATGATCTAATAAAACAACAGCAGTAATAACAGTGGCTTGCTTAGTAACAGACTACATCTGGTAAACTCTCTCACTGACCCTTCCTACATTGGAAATACATATAATTGTTTTGAGGGGTAGATGGAGGAGAAGCATACAAGAAATTATCTAGTCTAAGAAATGATTTAGAAACTGTTGTGCTCAAAATAGCATCACATTTTGCAGGTTAGTTCTAAGACATGCAAGCCTATAACCAGAGAAACACATGTTCATTGTAATTTTGGTTTGATTGCAAATTTTATTACAGAAGTAATTCGACACAGGTGTCTTAATTTCCAAGATTGTCAGCAACTTCCCTGTCTTGTGAAAAGAAGTCCTAAGTATTTTTGAAGAGTGGGTTAACCATTTAAGTGTTTCTTTAATAAGTAACTATTTCTGAAACCAAAAATTTTCATTTTTTTTCTGATTAAAGGGTAGAATTACTTGGATATGTTGATTAAGCCCACATATCTTTTTGTTTGCACTGAAGCCATTAAAAAAAAAGAATACCCACACTTATTTTCAGAATAGGTGACAATAAGATCAATAATTTGTTTTCCCAGGTGGTGCTAGTGATAAAGAACTTGCCTCCAATGCAGGAGACTTAAGAGATGTGGGTTAGGTCAGGAAGAT